GTCAGGATGCAGTGCGCTGGCCCAGAGCAAGTATCTCTCTAGACACGACGCAGCACTGAAGGTACTGTTTTACCAACTGTTGTATGATGAGGGATTTATAGACGAGATACCACCCTGGTACTCACCCGACAAGCCGAAGCCCGTGTATGAGTCAGAGAATGTTAAAGCTTATTGGGATGTCCCTATATATGCTGATCAACAAGAGGTCAGATGCAATAGGGTGGATGCACGCATTGTAAATCATATGTGCAAGAGAGTTGTGACGCTGGAAATGAGCTGCCCGTGGGTTAACAATCGGACAAGAAAGGATGAAGAGAAGACACTGAAGTACGGACCCCTTCGCTGGGAACTAAGGCAGCAGTTCCCAGGCTACGAGGTGAAGCAATATAACATCATTATGGATGCCCTCGGGGGGTGGTCACGGGAGCTGGATGTCATGATGCGCGAGCTGGTGGGAGGCAGAAGCACAGACGTACTGCGAAAGATGCAGAGGGCAGTGCTCTCGGGCACGCTGAATATTGCCCGGACTTTCAAGGTGGCAGTTTGAATTCCTGTTAGAAGGAGGACCATAGACACAACGGTAAAGCTTTTTAGGATTAGTTAATGTACATTTATTTTTTTAGTCCATGGCTCACAGGCTACGGTTTTCGCCCTGTGCTGCCTGATTAGAATGTAGCATTCAATTGATTTCTCCGCGACATGATAATAATAAAACAAACGAACAAACAAAAGGATAAAAAAACACGAACCTCCCAGAAATCTGATGTTTCTTTTAGCAATACACCCCTTAATAGTATGGAAATTGAATTAGAAATCTTAAGATCTATCAGTACTTTAATTATTATGATTGGTAGCTAACTCTCAAATTGCCTACACAAGAATTTAGATTTAATTCACATCAAATCTTCATGAAAACGAACCTTACATGATGTATGCCAGAGAAATCGGGTTAAAACTGTGCATAATTTGGGAATACTTAGAACTTGATGCAATTGTAAATTAGACCAGTACTGTTATAAAACGATGGTCTTTCAAGTTTGGTTGATCTGGAACATCGAGTATCAAACTATTGTAAATTTCAACAGAGTTTAGATATAGAGAAAAACCCTGATCCTACTCCAATGTACATTGACCCTAGCAAAACAATAACGGAAAAAAACTGTTGATGTTTGTGGAACTGAAGTAAGTTTAGATGGTAAAAGTGATTACAGTGAAGGAACATTGTCTGATTCGGTTGACAGCAAATCAATTCTCGAAAATCTTGTAATAGATAATAGTGAATGCACAGGGTTTTTAATGTGGTTTTCAGTTTTTTGTATAACATGTAATTTTAAACCCACAAAAAAGTCAAAATATGTGTATTCCCTCTTGGTATTTAATGAAGTAGTTAGTAGTTAGTAGTTCTTTATTTAATGTGGCACCCCACTTTGCTACAAGCTACTTGCCAGGAAGCCCACAACAAAATAGTCAAATGCCTCTAATTGAATATACTAAAACTGTAAATAGCACTGCTTCTCTTGTTGCGGCCATCAGTAATATTCAATATTCAGAGATTTTTCTATTAAAAACAATATGGACTATTGAAGAGTAATATTGCTTCAATCTACTTATTTCTGACAACTCCCCTTGGGTGGACATTTGGCAACAAACTAAGAATGGGTACCAATAATAGATAAAAAATTCCCTTCTCCTTGCAGTTAAAGGCAAATCATGATTACCAACTCAAGGTTCGTAAAAGCCTTAGAAGTCCTTGAAGAGGCTTGAATTTCAAAATAAAAATTTAAGGCCTTGAAAGTACTCGAATTTGAGGATTAGGGCTTGATTTTTGAAATGCTTTTTCTTTAGCAATTTTCAAGTTGAAAATTACAGCACTTTCATGGAAAAGCTGAGAAATAATATTTAATTAATTTTATAATTGCTTATGCAAACATTTCCAAAGGTGGTCCCTCAATTTTCTAAAACTTGGCCTTTAAAGTCATTGAGAATTCCCTGAATTTCAACCTTTGGCATCTGTAGGAAACTGCTCCTATATGGTAATATATTATTAGTACCATAACAACATTCATAACACTCCAGCAGACAAAAATAAACTCAAGTAGACTTATTCATGACCGGCAGTGACGAAATTGGGTGACGACAGTAAAATGGCAATATGGTAGTCCCTTAAAGATAACTCCAGATGTGCGACATTGAAAGTCCGAGTTCACGAAGCTATGCGTCTTGTTTAGATTAAGGAGGCTGGATATAGTTTTTCACTTTTCTGATGTAAGATATTTAAACTAAAATTACAAAGCTTAGCTTTAACGAATCGCGATCGCATTTTCCCATGAAATAAAGATATTATTGAAGAATCAGTTTGTTGTAAATATATTGAAAAATTCGTTGCCATGGCAACGTTGCTGGCTTGCAATGCTGGGTCCAAAATTAGACTTCACTTGAATTTTCTTAAAAACTGGACGGTGAATTTTTTTTTTAGATTTTGCATGCGTCCTTTGACTGTCTTGGTCTACTTGACTGTTA